CTCAAGCGAGAAATACGAGAAGGCGGAGGAGTGGGACCAGTTGTAAACCCAAGGCCCATCAACGACGATAGAATGAATCCTTCCTCCAAGTTCCATCCTCACAAGTCCCTGCAAGGATTCATTTCCACAAAGGGGCGTGCCCCGTTGGAAAATAAACGTATGAAAATATTGAGCCGTGCCAAAACACCATACTTGGGACTTCAACGCCGCGAATCAACGATACTACTGCGTCCTGACAATCCTGAATCGTTCCAGACCGCTGCCCTGGGACGTCAACACTGCGAATGAACGTACCTGTTGCGTCCTGACCCGACCGTCCTACACTGTGCCTGAATATCACTCCTGGGACGTCAACAATAGGAACCCTTGAAACTGCTGTAAATTCTTAAGGCGAACGCGCCCGGCACTAAAACAACGGCCAAACTTAAAAAGAGAGGAGCCGCCCTCCATCCGCGAAAATCCAGAGAACCTTTAAAACGAATGCGCGCGGCGCTACGGCGAAAACCATATTCTGAAAACGGCCCGCCCGCCACCCTCGAAACTCTTACAAACTTGTAGGACGAATGTGCGCGGCGCGAAAGCGAGAACCGCATGTTGAAGACCACTTGCCCTCCGTCCGTGAAAATCCCGCAAACTCTTAAAAACGAATGCGCGCGGCGCCAAAGACTCACCACCAAACCACCCCAACCCAACCCAAAGTCGCCGTTGGCCCAATGAATTTCCAATGGGGGGGCGTCGGGGAACATAGGGAAAACACAATGTGACCCGTACACCTCCTAACCCGAAATTGGGGAGAACATGGAACCTTCGGGTTCGGTTGGGATGGCTTGGTGAATGGTGAGCTAAGGTGAATGCTACATGTTGAAAAAAAGGCCCGCCCTCCATCCGTAAAGCTCTCTGAATTTGCTCATACGACTGTTCGCGGCACTAGGCGCTAGGGCGAGAACCACATTTTGGAAGTGGACCGCCCTCCATCCGTGAAACTGCTGCAAATCCTAGGCCTCGGGATCAGAAGTCGTGAGGAAGTATCAAGCGGAACGCCTGGCCCGCTCTACCAGCACGCCTCGGGACGCGACAGTCAGGAGGCAGTGATTAGGAAAGTGGGCGGAGTGGGTGAGGGGGAGGGGGAGAAGGTGGAGAGGAAGGAGGGGGGTGCAGTAGGATGGGGAGAGGAGGCGGAGAAGGTAGAGGAGAAAAAACGCATTAGCATGACCTGTCGGAGGACAACGACGCCGGACTTCCCCCGTGGCGCGCGAAGAGTGCCAGGGGGCGGCGCTGGAGAAGCGGACCTTCTCTTCTCCGGAGAGGGCGACCGCAGCCGGCGACTCGCAGCGCGCCAGTCAACCGACAGCCCGGTTGCGAGTCAACGACAGGCAGAGAAGCCCGTGCTGGGGGCCTGGACCGACTGCGCCGTGAAATGGCTGAGGAGGGGCAAGCCGAGACACATGCTGGCCAAAGTCAGCGTCAGGATTCGACTCGTGCTCTTGGGCGGCGCGCACAAAGGGGATGGCGCGAAGGGGGCAGCCCTCTAAGAAGGCCGGGGGGGCTTCTTAGAGGGCAGAGGCCTCAGGGTTTCTGGGGAGCCACCTGCCTTCTTCAAGGGCCTCCCGCCTACTCGGAAAATGCGTCCCTCTCTCGCGCCGCCCCCTCCTGGGCCCCAGCAGCATCTCCTGGGCACCGCATGAGGAGGCGGGGGGGCAAGAGGGGGGGGGGCACAACCGAGCGGGGCAGACAGCTGGCCCACCAAGTACCACCGCACCTCCTGCGCCGGCGGACCCGCCCGCCGGCCTCCGCCGAAGAGGGGCCGCGCCGAAGGCCAGGCCCCCTCGGGAGCGCCCGGGGCGGTGCCGCAGGCGGCCAGCGCCACCACCACCACTCGAAGGCACACGGCTCCACCCTCCCTGGCCCTCCAGGGGCCAGGGCCCCGCGGCGTGCCCTCGGGCTGCCGCGGGCCGCGCCTCCGCAGGGGCCGCCAGCGCCGCCCGCCGAGGCCACGCCTCCAAGACCTCCGACGGCGTGGCTTTCGGGAGCGGTGCCAACCCGTGCAGAGGAAGCTCTCCTGCACTCTGTGCTCGCTCGTGCCATGCGCCGGAGCGCGTGGGCGGCAGAAGGCACTGCCAGCCTGTTCTCAGCGCTCTGCGGGAGTGGCGGCACGCGCTGGCCGTGGACGAATTCACGCTGTGAGTGGCAGGAGGAGGAGGAGGAGGAGGAGGAGGAGGAGGAGGAGGAGGAGGAGGAGGAGGAGGAGCAGGAGGACGGTTGTCGGGAATCGGTGGCCCGTCCAGCCCCTGCCGCCGCGCCACATCGCCAAGCAGGCGCCCGAGCCCCCCTCGGTGCGCACGGGCGCGCAGCGCAGGCGAGCTGAGCCTCCCTGCGCGGCCAGAGGTCGGACGCGCAGCGCCGCCGCCACGAGCCCTCTCTGGCGAGAGCAGGCCTGGCCCCCTTGCAGTCCGCTGGAAGCGCTCGCCTGCTGGGTGGCCAGGGTGTCGAGGAGGATGTGGAGGAGAGAGGAGCGGGAGCACGAGCTCCGCTGCCGTTCCTGCTCAGGCTGGCTCCGGCTCCCAGTCGCGGCGGCGTGCGCAGGCTGACCAGTGCCTCCACGCAGCAGATCCTGCCCCGGGATGAGCGCTGGAGGGAAGAGCAGAAGGGCAGCGGAGGGCGGGGGCGCCCAAGCGCGGGAGAGGATTGTGGACAGCGTGGACCTGAAGACGCAGCCTGCGAGAGTTCCACGACAGCTTCGTCGACTGCGGGCTGGACTCTCGACATCGGCCTGGCGCCTCGACGGCACAGAGAAGCAAGGCTCCCAGCCACAGCAAGGTGCAAGGCAGGGTCTCACAGCTTTACCGTCCCTGCCAGATCCTGGCCATGGCCCATGGCTTCGAAGCGGATGACGAACCACATTCCATGACCCTCATCCAGTTCTCCATGGTTCCAAAGGCTGATGGATTGCACAGTGTCGTTTCAGTGTAGTTCGCGGCCCAGGTGAAGTGATTGCATGCCCGTGGGCGTGACCAATCATGTGGACTCATGGCACGTGCTACTGGAAGTAGTTTCCAGGCGCCATCAGGTGTACTACGTCGCGCCGTTGACTTCAGGGCTCGGCGGTCAGGGCTTGGCTCCTTCTCTTCTTCACTGTTCTGGAACATCTGCTCGGGTGTACACTCTTTCACGGCTGGGGGCCCTCGCTCCTCGGACATGCGAGGTCCAAAAGCTGTGTTCATTGTGGGAAGGGTCGTATCCAGAAGCGCGTTGACAAGCTAGCCATAAGCATGCTGTGGAGCGGTAAATGGCATGGGGCAGGAAGAAGAAGAAAAACAAACATAATCCGCCGATCTGGCGTATGAGTTTCAAAAACCGTTTGATATAGCCTGAGCCTGTTCTTGAGCTTCAGCTCTGCTGGGGGGGTGGGTGCCGGAGTGGCTCTGCCGGGGTAGGGGGGAAGGGGGGGGGGTCCGAGTCAATTTTGGTGGCAAAATCGGAGCTCCCGCTCACTCCAGGTCGGCCCCTCGCCCCGGAGAGCTCGAATGCGGGCTCATAAAAAATCCAGCGGCCGCCCAGACGGCCCAAGAGGGCCCTGAGTGGCCGAAACATCGCTCCAAGACACCCAATATGTTCCTCAGACGGCTCCAGAAGTCTCCAACGTGCCCTCCCGACACCTCCTAAAAATGCCCAAAGACGGAAAATCTGCCCCATTCCCTTTTGGGAAAATGTGATTTTTTTGCATTTTCGCTTCTTCGGCCTTCGCAGTGTCCAACACGGCCCAAGAGACCCCCAAAACAGGCCCAGAGGCTCTCAAGAGGGCCCCAAGTCGGACCAAGGAGGGCCCAAGACGGCCCAGGAGGCCCCCAAGACAGCCCAAGCGGGCCCCAGGACGGGCCCAAGAAGTACGCAAGAGGGCTCCATAACGGCCCCAGAAGGGACAAAGACGGTCCAAGAGGCGCACAGGAGGCACCAAAATGACCATGGGAGTCCCCCAGAACCCCCGAGAGAATCCAAGTGGCCCTCAAGAGGCCCCACAAAGGCGCCCAAAAACGCCCCCGAAAGCTAAGAAAATTACCGCCTACACACCCCCAGGAGGCCTCCAGGATACCTCCTGCATGCCCCCCAAGAAGCCCAAAAGGCCCCCTTCAACAATCACCTCCAAGACGCCCCCCCAGGAGGCCTCGATAAGGATGCGGACAGACTCGGACCCCGATTTTTTTCTGCCCACAAAACTGATGCGCGGCGCGGAGAAGGGAAAGGATCACCCCGCGCTGGGGCGAAAGCGTCCTTCTGACAGCGGGATCGTCCCGGATCGGCGGCACCGGCTGGAGGCCTCTACAAAAGCAGGGGCAGGAGGAGGAGCAGAAGCAGGAGGAAAACGCCGAGCAGAAGCAGAAGCGGGAGGCATAGCGGGAGAAAAACGGGGACAGGGAGGAGGAGGAGGAGGAGCAGGAGGAGGAGGAGGAGGAGGAGGAGGAGGAGGAGGGGGAGGAGGAGGAGGAGGAGGAGGAGGAGGAGGAGGAGGAGCAACACCAGCAGTAAGAGCCGCAGCAGCAGGAGCAGGAGGATCAGGAGAGGGGGGAGATGGAGGTGGAATCCGGGCGTCGGTGGTCTAAGGGGATCTTTCCTTTCCCTTCAAGGCCCCATTTTCCGTACCTTCCCCCTCCCGTCCCAGAGGTGTTATTTTTGTTGGGGGCATCGCGGTGTGCTAGGGGGTCCTCCTTCGGCGAGGGCCCCCGATGCTCCAAGATGGTCTCCAAGAGGGCTCAGGACAGACGACGATGGTCCGAGACAGCTTCCGACGTGCCACCAACATGCATCAAGAGAGCCACAGTACGGTGCCAAGTGCTCCCGGAGACCCCCCAGCGGCCCTCCCGCGACACCCCAACCCTGTGCCGTCTCGCCCCTTTCGCGCCCGACGGGCGCCCGAGGCCTCAATCGGATGGCCCCGCGAAGGCCCACAAGGGAGCCCGAAAAAGGGGGGCCGGGAAACCACCCCAGGACCGCCCACGAGAGCC